ATGTGCTAGATTTCAATCATGTCCTAAGGAATCACATTTACTAGCTGTTAAGAGAATCTTTAGATACCTTAAGGACACTCCTAGTTTAGGACTTTGGTATCCTAGAGACTCTAGCTTTAGCTTGCATGCCTTTTCTGATGCGGATTATGGAGGATGCAAATTAGATAGGAAAAGCACCGCCGGTAGTTGCTGTGCACAAGTTTTATGGATGAAACAACAACTTTTTGATTATGGAATTGAAGTAGGTACCATTCCTATCAAGTGTGACAATACTAGTGCTATTTGTCTCACTAAAAATCCCATCCAACACTCTAGAACTAAGCACATTGAAATAAGACATCACTTCATTAGAGATCATGTCACTAAGGAAGATGTAGTTCTAGAATTTGTTGATACTTTGCACCAATTAGCGGATATCTTTACAAAACCCTTAGACAAGGAAAGATTTTGGACACTTAGGAGAGAATTAGGTTTGACCAACCTATCTTCACTTAGTGTTTAAAATAATTTTAGCACTTTTAATAAATCTTGAAAAATGCTTATAATAATATTTTTTGATTGCATTCTTGCTATTAGTTAGGGGGAGTTTGTGATTCTTAGTGAAAATTAATTTTATGTTCAAAAATCGATTAAAGATTAATTTAATTGTTTGAACATAATTAATTTTTGATATATGAGTTGCCAATACCACTAGAAAAGATTAATTTAGCATTTTGTACTTAAAAAATCGGATTTTAGCATTTTGGTGCAGAGGGAATCGATCCCCCCCTGAGGGAACCGATTCCCCCTTTGAAGGGGAACTGATTCCCCCCACAGGGGAATCGATACCCCCCTGGGGTTCTGTTAAAATCGACAGAACACACCCAAAATCCCAAACCCTCATTTTCCTCTCTCTTCCGCCGTTTTTCACCTCCTACACCCTCAAATCTCCATTTTTGTCTCAAATCGACGATATTAATCGGAATTTACTTCATATATCATCTTCTAAACCTGTTGAAATCATTAAAGTCGTGCAAACAACATCTAAATCCCCTCAATCTTCATCTTTCAAGGTAATTTTTCTAAACTCTTTATTTCATTATTTTTGAACATAGGATTAGTTTTAATTAGTTCTAGGTTGAAATAGTGATCGGGCATTGATTATTTAGTGATTAGAAACTAGATGTTACAACTAATTTCATCAAAAACACAAGAATTTTTCAAATTTTTTTAATTTTCGAAATAAAAAAAATTGTTATTTTTCAAATTATTGTGTTTTGATTAAATTATGTTGTTATTATGAAAACTATACATATATTGTTTCTCAAAACCATATTTTTCAAAAGTTTCTCAAAAACTTTGCCCATTAGGATTGATTTAGAGAACCTTGAAATATTGAGGACTCAATTGAGTTTTGGGATTAATTGAGTTGCATACATTTGTTTTAAAATTGCAGGTTATTCTATCTATTCCGATTTCCTTCACCATGTCAAATCCTAAACGTCCTAGGTCTTCATCTAGTCGTTCTAGTCGTCAACCAAATCCACCTCCAAATCCTCCTTCTATTCCAATTTCTAATCCCAATCCCACTGATCCTAACTTGACTATTCAAAATTCGTGTTTTAATCATCCTGGGTCTAGAAATCACCGATTTTGGTATTATCAATATTTCGATTCTTACAAAATCCGGGAAGAACGTATTCCTTCTCGTCAAGCTATGTTAGCTATCGATTTTAAATATCTTCCCATTTTACAAGAATGGAAATTTGATAAACTATTTGATCTTGAACCCATCGTTTACCATCAACTTGTTCGTATATTCTACTCTAATGCCGTATGTGTTAAAAACCAAGCTGAAACCGAAACCATAGGAATTCGTTCCTACCTCCTAGGACAATTCTTATATATTGACCCGGCATATATAGCCAATACATTTGGATTAGATAATGATGGTATTTCGAATGAAAAACAAATTTTAGGTTCTCGTTATAAAAGAAGAGATAGTGCGAGTGTCTTAGACCTACATGAGCGTTTTCTTCATCTAATGATTTCTTGGTGGTTTCGACCATCCGGAGGTCGTTATTCTACTCTTAGAGCTTTGGATCTTTGGTGGTTACATTGTTTCGAAAACCGTATTAAAATTAACCTACCTCAGATTATTTTTGCTGAAATTGTTGAAACCGTAAATCTTGTTCCTAACAAGAAACACTGTTCATCTCTAGTTTACGGTTGCTTTTTGAGTAATCTGTTTTCCAAAGCTGGGCTTAGAGTCGGTCTAGATGCCGTTTTTCCTCTTAAGAAACAAATAAATCTTCTTTCCTTAACGAGAGCGGGATGGGTAAAGGACAAAGAAACCGGTGAATGGGTTCGATCTTCTACTCCGGGAGCTAGTTCTTCACAAGCTCCACCCGAAGCTGACGAAGATCCCGAGCTTGAGCAATTAATGCAAGATATCGATGAAGCCGAAGATGAGCCTGATCAGCCCGAAGAACAGCCCGAGGAGCAAGCACAACAAACGCATCAAATGCCTCCATATTTTCAATCCTTTATGGAGACATTCGATTTCCGATACGCTACCATGGACTCGCGCTTTTCCTCTATAGAGTCTCATTTATCCACAATGGGAGCTCAACAATTAGAGATTCTTCGGGAGATGCGTGCAAACAATGAATCAACCAACGCTCGTATCAATGAACTCACACACGAGATGGCCGCTATGCGAGCCCGTTTTCCTCCTACCGATCCGGATGCTTGATTTTATGTTTATCTTTAAAACTTTGAACAAAATGAATATTGTTTCAACATTTTGAATTGTTTGATTTTGTGGATTGTTGGATTTTGGATTTATGAATGGTGTGAACTTATATGTTTGGTGTTTTATTCATTTTTGCATCATTTACATTATCATTAGCAATATGACCAATTTTGCCATATCACATTATTTATGAATATTGATTTATGAAACTAATGGCTAACCTCTCTTTTGATTGTGATCTTAGCAGCTTAAGCTTATAATCAATAAATCAATTGGCTAAATGATTTTCAAAACCTTGTTTTACAATGTCTTTTTGATTTAACAAAAAAGGGGAGAAGAATAGTGTTAAATGTTTTACATGATAAATTGTAGAAGTGTTAAAGTAAGGGGGAGTAATTTCAAAACTTGATTTCAAAAATCTTAAAATTACTAAAATGTTTTGTTATATCAAAAAGGGGGAGATTGTTGAAACATTTTAATATTTCGATATAACAAATTAAGTTAAATGGATTTTAAGATTTTCCAAATGATTTTCTAAGTATATTCGATATAACTATTCGAATATCAAAACATTACTCCAAATATTTCAAAAATCATTTTTGATCCTTACTTAAGTGTAAAATTAAGTTTTAATCATAAAACAATTTCAAAATAATTTTACAAAGTATTTCGAACCAATTCAAAGCCAAAAATTCCAGATTGCTCAGAGGGAACCGATTCCCCCCATAGGAGGAACCGATTCCCCCCTGAATGGTTTGACTCCGAGATTTCCAGAATGCTCGGAGGGAACCGATTCCCCCCAAGGGGGTACCGATTCCCCCTGTTCAACGGTCGAAATATTTGAATTTTACACTTAGGGAACCGATTCCCTATGAGAGGGAACCGATTCCCCCCACGCTCCAAGCTGTTTTATTAAATGTTTTCACACTAAAACGGCTATAATATCTTCTCTAATTATTCCCAACGTTTAGAAGTGATCCAAGGTGTATTTAAGCAAGCTTAGAAGCCATTGATCAATAACAAGAAACATCAAGCAACTAGAATCAAGAGAGAATCAAAGAGAAAGCATCAAACCTCAAGTTTGAGCATTTCAAGCCTATTTTCATTCAATATTCATTTTGCTTTCAAGAACACTTTTTGTGCTCAATTGTATTCATATTTGAGTGTTCTTTTCTTTGTTCTAGAATTGTGCAAACATCTTACCTTGTGAGGTTTTCTTGTAAGTTTGCAAATTTGTAATCTTCTCTTTGAGAAAAGAGTGTTCTCAAGAGTTGGGGTATACTCTTGAGGGAATTGTAAGGTTATCTCTTTGGCCTCAAAAGAAAGAACAAATTAGTGAATTTGTTGGAAAATCCTTAGTGTGGATAGCTAAGGTAGTGGACGTAGACTTTGTTTGAGAAAGTCGAACCACTGTAAATCGCTGTGCAATTACTTTCAATTTTCTGCAAAAGCTTCCACAAAATTTTTATTGCCAATTCACCCCCCTCTTGGCCAATTTCGTCATTCGATTAACTCAACATGCTCCCTAAATGGATAGGTCGTTCGATGAATTATTTGTACAATATTATTTATGCTCGTTTATTAAGTTAAATAAGTGATTGTTAATAAAAATTTTATGTTCAAGAATAAATAAAAGTATGTCTAGCTTGTTTATATTCACGAACAAATTCGTTTATGAGCATGTTTATCGACTTGTTCGTTTATGTTCACAAACAAACTCGTTTATTAATTTGTTCGTTTATGTTCACAAACAAGGTCGCTTATATTAGTGAACATAGGGGCTAAATTGAACACATGTTGAAATTTGGAGTTTAAACTATAATGCTTAAGAAGTTTTACACTAATTGCATAATTTTAACATTTTTCAGCTTGCAAATGAACATGAATTGCGTTAAATGAATATATTCGAGAATGCTAACCAATGAACATAAATGATACAACTAATATTCAAGACTTACAAATTAAAACATTAAAAAGAATCAAGGAAACTAAGAATGTTATGTTTCAGCTACAAATGAAAAAAAGAAGAAAGAAAGAAAAACCAACATAAAGAGCAAAAATTACTACTGATGATCTGATCAACCAGTCTGATTTGGTTTTAAGTTTCACGCCTCCTACGTCGAGGAGCAGCAGTTGTTTCATCTTCCTCTTCCTTTCGTTCACTGCTTGTTGCTTCATCATGTTTTGTCTCAACCACCACTGCTTTCTGATCTTCTTTTGGGCTTGTCTGCAGGCACCCCCACATGATTGCAATATACCTGTTTCACCGAATCTTTTCTTTCTAAATAAAAAAATGGGTTGAATTGAAAAAACTTACTTGATTCTTGCCACCAAAAATGAGCTTCAAGAGAATGGTGAGCATAATCACTGCAATGGAGACTAGGATACCCATGGCGAGATTAGGTTGTTTCTCAGCCTTCTCGATATGATCCTATATGAACAACACAATGTTCGAATGACAAATCCAACAATAAAAAGCAGTAAAGAGCAAACAACTTTAAACTTACTAGGATTTGAGTCCTGTAGTTGCTTAACAAAGGCATATCAGCAACCTCGTATAGGAAATCGAACACCTTCCTCTGCAGATTAACAAAATTACCAACTTCATGTTTTATATGTAATAAGATTGGACCGAAAAACAAATAAGCTTTCAAATGCTTGACCTTAATGGCAGCAAGGAAATCAGAACCAGAAGCGTCATCTTCAGCCTTTTGTCTTTCTTTCTCCACCTCAAACTTTGGTTTCCACTTGGTCTCCCTATATGACTTTGCAACTTTCTCGTTTTTGGCTATCAAGATGTTATCAAACAATATACCATCTTGCATTGTCCAAATCTCGATACCGATACCAGAAATAGGCTCAAAGTTAGGCTTTTCGAGTTCGAAGTAGTTCGGGTTCGGAATCTCCCTGGCCTTCCAAATACCCTTATAGTTGGGGTTATCAATCAGTGAGGGAGACCATTTGCCTTTGTAGGCAGGGTTATTCTTCATAGGCCTCTTCCACTCACCACAACCGGGAGCCGTTGCACATTTTGGGTTAAACGTCTTAGGGGGTTCCCACACACCGTCCTCATCATCATCCCAATCCTCTGGCTTGGTTGCCTCAGGGTCATCGATCTCCTCGGGCTCATCGTCTAACCATCCTTCGGGTTTTACCGCCTCCTCGTCCTCTATTTCCATCGGTGCATCCTGGTCCCAATCGTCGGGTTTCACCGCATTCGGATCGGGAATTCTTGCTCCATCGTCCCAGCCCTCGGGTTTCATATCATCCGGATCAGGGATTGTCTTGGGAGGGATAAGTGGAGGGTCGAAATCGTCGGTTGCTAAGAAATTCGCCTTCTTCTTCTCCTTTCCATCGATCATGATTCGAACCTCTTTGTCACGTTTCAATGTCACAGTGTACACATGAGTGAGCTTATCGGACGGGGCAGACGGTGCGTGTTTAAGATGGTGTTCGACATATTCACCGTTTTTAGGATTCTTATGCTTCAAGATGAAATGAACCTTGTTTGTCGTCCCGCATTTGTCAGGTCCGAACATGATGGAGTAAGGGGACTCATTGTCGAATTCCTTAGGCTTACATTGTGCCTCTTGAGGACCAAGGTATTTCAGATAAGCGCCGCCGCATTCGGGTCCGCTCTGGAACCGAGTCTCGAACTGAAGCGCCGTGGTTCCGTCTTTGAGACTCACCGGGGCATTGAGCTCCGTCACTATTGCATACTTCCTTGCCTTTTCGCTCACCAGAAGACCATAGTCATCATGCCCCTCGCTCTTCGAATGCTTCCATACACCTATATGAGTACGGACACATGATTTTATATCAAGAACGAACTTATAAAATTTTAATACAAAGACAAATAGATTTTCAATAATAACGACGCAAGATAAACTCAAAGAAAAGGATCCCATAAATGTTCGATTATGAACCTATGGGGTTCTATGCATATCCCATTGAAGATTTCCATGAATAGAAAGTGAAGGAAATAAATTAAAACTCTCACCTTTATAATCATCTTTATTAGAGACGATCCATCGATCCTCAAATGACTCGTCGAAAGATTCATAAAAAACCTAAGAACAAAACCCAGAAAAGAAATCATAATTTCAAATTTCCAATATCAAAACACTCTTTACCAATTCGAGACATTAAACAAATAAAAAAAAACAATTGAATCACCACATCATCGTTTTTGTCATTGTCATTATCACTGTCATTATCATCAGCCGCGAAGCAGAAGAACTGCAGTGAAGCGAAAGCTAAGAGAAGAAGAAGAGCAAAACGCCCCATCATAACCAAGAACCCTAATTCCAACGACGACAGAAAATTTCCTTTTTTTCAACAATCAAAATCAAAGCTTCAGCTGTTTATCGTTTCTTATAGATCTTAACGAATTATTTTTATGGGCTGCATGAAATCAAACAACCATTTTTAACCACGTAAGCATATCATGCAACTTCTTATGTTAATTTCTAATATATGATTTTACTTTTTTCTCTTCAATTTACTTTGGAAATGGAAACTTTTTTTTTCTATTATCATTTTTTCTTCGGAGTTGGATCCATTCTCAAGGAGGAAAAGGTTCGGGTCATGACCCATTTGGCGGGTTTTGATTGGAGCCGTTTGCAGATTCTTCGCCGGTTGGTAGGGAAGACCTGAAAATTCGGTTTTAGGGTTCTATAATCCACACCACAACTCCCTCCACTTTAGGAAGAATATAATCCATAAAGTAGTTTATATGTTTTAATTCAATTTGTAAAACCTCCCACTAATTTTGGATTTGTGCCAATTGACATAGATTCTCAGATCTCACCATTGTCCATTATGGGGTAAGACTTAAACTAATAAGTGGACGGTCCAAAGCAAAAGGGCATATCAATCTAAGATTCTTTCCCCCTTTAGACATATATATTCATTTCTTACTTTGCTTTAACTACCTTTCCATTTGTTTATGGTTTTGGAGAGAGAACCTTTTCTTTTAATTAATTTTTAAAATCATATTTAATGTTATGTTTTGATTCTATTTTAATCATCACTCGTTAAAAGAATAACGATAATACTGATATGTCATCGTAAGGTGATGTCACATCACCATTGATTTTTTAAGAATAGAGTATCAAAATAAGACCAAAATGTAATATTAGAGATAATTTAAAAAAAAATAGTTAAGTGATCAAAATAAAAACTATTAGACGGTGTCCAAATAGGTAGTTTACCGCCAAACTTAGTATGCTAGACAAGAAATATACTGTTTTCTGAATTTGTACTGAAAATATTAAACAAAGAAAAGTAAATATTCTTAGTGGAAGATAAGATGACCCGACGAAGGAATTATACGTCGGGGACCATTACAAGTTTGACACCTTGATTTGATCCGTTTCCTTCGTCGTTTTTCCTTAAAAAAGGGGGAAAAAAAGAAAAGAAAGAAAGAAAACCCTGAAAGTGTTTACATATATGCAGGGTTTTGCAGGGACAGAGACAATGCGATGTGATAATTTGTTCTTGTTTCATTTGTCAAGAGGTGTGAGCTATAGATTTTCAGACAAAGAGCATGTGGAGAAGGAAGAGGAAGAAGAAGAAGAAGAAGAAGAAGAAGACAGCAGCCATTGATAACTATACCTCTTCAGGTTGTTCCTCGTAGAGGGATTTGGAGGAGGTTAAAGGCAAGTCATTTGAGGCAAAGGGAAGGTTACGCCTTTCTTTCTGATTTTTCTTTTTATGTTTCATTTTCATTTCTGCATCTTTGTCTTGGATTCTGAGTTGAGGGATTCAGATCAAAATGCATCAACCAAGTCCAGATTTCTAGCTGTTTGATGAACAAAAATGGGGTATTGTAATCTTACCTTTCCGCTGTTTCAGATTATGAATAATTGTTATATTTTTGCACATACTTAATGTTCAACACAAAATCTCTACTTTCTTCCATCTCAAAAGAACAGATCTAGGTATCATACCTATCAATTTCAGAGTCCGACATAATTATGCCGTATAAATATGATTCTCAACGTTTCGTTTAGATAAGCCTGTTCTGAAAAAATGTTTACTACAAAACTATGCACCCCATTCGCTGAAGGGAGGATTACCACCTAACTAGAAATAATCAGCTTACTCGTTTATCATCTTATTACCGTTGTTTTCGTCGTCAACTCTAATTCCCGTTAGGCAATAAATAGAAGGCGACTAGGTCCGGCTGCAGAATTCAAGTTCTAGAGTTCTAGACTCTTTTTCATAGCCTCATAAACCAAATATGTAATGCTTGCAGCTGGGACAACCTTCAGAAGATTAGGAAAAAGTCCTTTGTAGAAACCTCTATAACCTTCATTCCGAAGGGTTTTCCAAAACACATCAGACATTCCATTATATGCAGCATCCGTGGTAGAATACTGAGCTTGCATTCTGGGTAAACAAGCAAAATAAATACGATGATACGGGTAAACCCGATTACCAGAAAAAGGATTTCTAAACATTATAATTGTACCTAGTTCGAATAACCTGTAAAGGATAAACACAGGTTGCTCCCAAAGCTCCAGAAATTGTTCCACAGCCTAATTGCACAATAGGACCGGGTTCTATAGAAACATGAAAGAGTCCTCAGAAAGCTTTTGAGTAACAAATTCAGAAGAAACTCCAAGGTTAATGAAAAATACGAAACCGAAATATATAACGAAAATATGTATAGATGAAAGCAGATAGAAAAGTACCACTATCTTGAAGAATATATGACCTTGAAATATCCTTCAAGGATTCATAGACGGTAAGGTCGATGCCAGCGTATGGGATGATCCCAAGAAGAGATGGCACGAGACCTTTATAGAATGCTCGAGGTCCCTCCTGAACCCATATATCCTTTGTTAATTTCGCCAACTTTGGTGGCTTTCCACCTTCAAAAGCACAAGTCTGTAATCGAGTTTTTACAAGATCCATTGGGTAGATAACACATTGTGCCACAGCACCGGCTAAACCACCAGCAAGAAGTCTCCCGCTGGTACCTACATCACCACTCTTATCTCCTGTACTGTCTCCTATTACATTCTTTAACATTTCATATGCATAGAACTTTATAGCACTTTCAGGAGCTACCTTGACAACATTTAACCCATTGCCTCGGAAAAACCCCAAAACACCGTCTTCCTTCAATATCTTATTTACAGCTGACAGAATATCAGCGTTTGTAGTTTGCACTTGTAAAACAACCTTGAGGCGATCGAGAGGAGCAGTTGCAGTGCGGGAAGCTGCTCCGGCTATTCCTCCTGCAATAAAATACTTGCTTCTCTTAACATGTGTACTGATGCCTTGAGGAATAACAGCTGTTTCTCCGATATCTACAAGGCAAACCTTTTCCCAATGATGATAGATGTTCTCCATGGTAGCTTCATGAGGATAGAGTAAAAGGAAATCCCTCCATTCTTCAAATATTATAATCCCATTATTGTCCTTATCAACATGCTCCACAAATCGTGAAAGCTCCTCATCATCGATATGAATCCCTGCAAATAAAAACTGCCAGGGCTTATAAGATGAAAACAACTGTTAAATTGCAAGCATGGAAACTACCATACACACAACATCCAGCAGAACAAACCGACACATAATCTTTATACTGACAAGAAATTGTCTCTTGATAGGGCATTATGAGTACATTAACGAGACACTGTCTCAGATATCAAGCCCGGCAAACCTTTCCTTCAATGGTGACAAACTCCCCTGAAACCTGACATAGATCCTTAGTTGCCAAACCGTAGGATTAGTTGAGACACCTCAACAGATGCGGATATGTTCATAAAAGAAATATAAAAAATCACATATTCTCGTTTCACGATGATTTTAGAGGAAAGAAACACTTGTAAGAAGCTCCTTAAAATAGAATGAACTTACAGTTCAGATTTCAGCTCAGCAAAACTTTGGTTTCGGAATATTTGTAACATCAAAATAAAAAAAAATCCCAATTCCCTTCTGTTGATTTAAGAACTAAAACACAAAGTTTAATATATCTGCACCACGGGACACGCATCTGGTGTGTGAAACTTTATACCCTCTCATTAACTCACATTGAGATTATTTCAAACAAAGGCTTTGCATAACAAAATGATAAAGGCAGCTTTCTAACACCTAACCATAACCTCTTCCGGATTCCGTTCAGAAATTAGAACAAGACAAGGCATTCCCACAACTCGCAATGCAATCTACTCTGAACAACATACACTGGCAGAATTCAAGTTGCCAACCAAAGGAATGCTTTCGGATTCAATACTTCTAATGCTATCTACTTTCCTTAATGTACCTACCATATGTTCCAATTATGAGCACATCAAAAGCGATTTTGCAATGTTACAAGTTTTCTGAGCCAAAAGGGTATTAAAAAGATGGAAAACAACATACAACCTCTCAATATATAAGCAAACAACCACAAATTGTTCAAACTTTATAATGATTTCACTATCGACCCGAATCAAAGCAACAACCTCACCGGACCAATCAAACATATCAAAGTTAAGAAAGTCCAACTATTATAAATAATACAAAAACAAAGAGCATAGCATACCGGCCTTAACAAGCGCATCCCAAAGCTCCTCAGGCAAAATGCAGCCATTGTGTTCCACGTCAATAGCTTGGAAAATCCTATAAAGTTCAAGCTCTTTATCATCCATATACCTTTTGAATTCCTGATAATCCACGCGCCCATCTCTGTTGGCATCACAAACTTTCAACAGATCGTTGGCGTACTTGTACTCGGCCGGAATCTGCAGCGCCGACAGACCCATTTCGATCTGAGCATAATCCAAGAATCCCACATTGGCCGCATCGAAAAAATTGAACAGACTCCGAATCCTCAAATCCCTTTCTTCCTTCGTCTCGCGTAATGCCAGGAGGACATGAGCCATAGTTACGGGTCCCGGTTTTTTGACCAGATTGCTACATTCGGGTTCGGGTTTCGCCTCCATTTTAAAACGACAACGTTTCTAATCACCTTAAGCCGAATTTCACCTATTTTTCAGCGAATGTCGTCTCTTGGGACTGTTCTTCTCCGCAATCATGAGGTTCGAGAAGAAAGAGATCTGCTCGGTAATCGATTAAGGAAAGGATCCAAAAAATTGAGTCGAATTAGTTGGGGGGGGGGAATGATAGAGACTTTTCTATTGGTAAAGGCGGTCAAAAAAAGAAGGGAAATTAGAGTGTCGAAATTCCAAAGGAACAACAACAGGTTTACAAAATCAAATGAAAATGGGATGAATTCCAACTATTTTTTTTCTTATTTTACAAAGATAAAAAATCAATCGAAGAAACAATAACAGAGCCGGATTGAATGAAGCAAATGTAAGGTGGGGGAGGGGGAGAGAGAGAGAGAGAATTTACAACAAAGAAATTGAGGAAAATACACGTG